ATGTATATGAAGTAAATATATAATTTCTGTTATTGCAATTTATTTTTATTCACTCTCAAATATTTATTTTCTTTTTTACTTTGGGTGACAAAGAACTCTGATGTTTTGTTCTACTGATTTTTGGAAAATTATTCTTTGTTATAAGAAAGCTGTGCCTCCTTTTTGTGTGTTTTTTATTTTACTTATTGACCTGTTTACCTTGTCAACAAGACCATCATCAGCCAGTTTCAATACTGCTATTTTCAAAATTATTCTAATATATTAATTTCTGGAGTAAACATTCTTGGATGTGTTCGTCTACACCATGAGTTCATGTAGAAATCTGGATGTTTCATTCCTTGTGCATTCTCCCAATATCCAGCCCTTTTTCAGTTTCATGAAGTTGTGGGAAAACATGTATTATTTTCTGCTGGGTTTAACCTTTGCTTCGAGATTAAACCTTCTCAAGTCCTTGGACAAGATTAATGTCTCTCAGTATTTTGATAGAATGAATTCTGAGCTTCTCTTTTCATCTCTGTCCCATGTTTACCCTTGAAACAGAAGCCAAGGCACTGTTCATTGACCTAAGTGACTTTGCAGGTGGGAGATAATGAACAAATTTAGTACCAATTTCCTCATTTTTTTTTGCACCCTTAATTTACTATATGTTTCCTTTGTTGTTGTGATTTTCTGAGCGTATCTTATTATTTCCCTGGACTGTCATTCTGAGATAGCTCTCCTAAAGTTTCTGCAAAACTCAAAAGATTTAAAAATATTTCTTGTATTTTAATCTAATTTTGCTATTAGAGCACCTAGTACATTTTTGTTGATCTATTAACTAGTATCATTCAGTGATCACTCATACTCTCTGTGATGGTATCAATTGTCTGTTGATTGACACCAGCTACTCTTGCACCTACTGCCCAGGCTTTTGCTTTTGTATTGCTGACTGCTTTGCATGGGCACCTCAACCCTAGCCCAGCTGCTCAGAATTTATAAACCAATGATACTCGAGCAGCATCAGACAGGCAGGGGAAGCAAGATGGATTCACAGGCCCAGGTCCTCATTTTGCTGCTGCTCTGGGTGTCTGGTAAGAAATTTAAAAGAATTATTATCATTTCAGAGTCATGTCTTTTTATATAAGAAATTTACAATGTATGCAAGTGAGTAATATTTTGTACATAATAACACACTGATAATATGACATTACAAGGATCCTTAACAAAATTTCAACTGTTATTATAATCTATGCTTCTGTATGTATTCATGTTCACTGTCTATTCATTATTTCAGGTACTTGTGGGGACATTGTTATGACTCAGTCTCCATCCTCACTGGCTGTGTCAGCAGAAGAGAAGATCACTATGAGTTGCAAGTCCAGTCAGAGCTTTTTATCAAGTGGAAAGAGCTACTTGGCCTGGTACCAGCAGAAACCAGGGAAGTCTCCTAAACTACTGATCTACTGGGCATCTCCTAGGGAATCAGGGGTCCCTGATCGCTTCATAGGCAGTGGATCTGGGACAGATTTCACTCTCACCATCAGCAGTGTGCAGGATGAAGACATGGCAGATTATTACTGTCAACAGTCCTACAGCGATCCTCCTCCCACAGTGTTTTAGCTTCCTACACAAACGTCCTTGAGATTTTAACAGCTGTCTGTGCCACACATAGTCCTGGGTCATAGTCCTGCACTTCCTTCTGAGAGCCAGTGTGCCTGATACACTCATGAAAATGTTTGGAAAGCCCACCAAAAAATAAAGGATTCAAAATCGTTGTTTCTTTTGCTATGAAAAACCTGTATGTACAAATGCAGAAACAGATTTAATATTATAGTTCATTTCCTCTATAATAATTTGCGTGAATATAGGAAAGTTGTATTTTTATAGTTTTGGAATTCTAGTATAAAACATAAGTCTCTTTGCACTGACTTGATGATGACAGAAAACTGAAATTTGTTTTGGGTACGCTAGAAATAGAGTATTTTCCCAGCATCTACAGGGCGTTCTTAATATTTTTATCGTTTACTTCTGCTTCTTCCTCTATTTTGCATAAATTCTTTTAATTTTTATTTAATTGTAGTAAATTAGTTAGATCTTTTTCTATGTGCATGTGAGTGTGTAATTTTGTCTCTGTGTGTGTGTCTATATTATAACTTCACATAATTTATGGCATGTTTGTGGAGGTCAAAGGACAATTTGGACTTGATTTTCTCTTTTTGTCATTTAGGATCTGGGCATTAAATTCAGATCTGTTGGTATCAAGTGTCTTCATCTTCTGAGTAACTTTATTGATCCTTAAAATCTTTTATTGATGTTAACTCATTATACACAGTTTTCATAAAAACAATGGCTTTCTAGTGTATCATATATTTTGACACTATGTGCTAAATTTATACTTTCCCCTTCCCTTTTATGATATCTAGTCCAACTTTTACTTTTCTCTTTCTTACACACACATACAAACACACACATGACATATACATATACACATACACACATATGTGTACATACACACACACACACACACACACATATATGCCCACCCAAGGGTTATAGAAACATAAGTATGCATATATTCACATACATACACATGTATACACACATACATGTACACAATAATACATGTACACACATGCTCTCAAGCAAGCAAATAAACAAAAATCCAATTCATCAAGAAACCTAGCAAAGGTATAGGAATTATTAATATTTCTTAATAACCTTCTGTCATCACAATTAAGCAGTAATCACACACATGTTGTTGGACTAGGTTGAAAACTATACAAAACTGGATGTTTTCTCCTAGAAACACACCTATCTGGTAATGATATATACATGGTGTGTATGGATGGAAGTGAATCTATCAAGAGAATAGGTTTCAAACCAAGCAAGCATAGCTCTTCTCATATCTGCTACAGTCAAATACATACTAATGCTGAAGAAAGCATAAAAAGAAAGTAAAAAGTGAAATGAAATCACTAAAATGTACAAAACAATGTCAAATACATACAAATTAAACTTTGCACTTCCAATTTGATAAAACAAATCCTGGATGCAATGGACATATAAAGTCAGATATGTCCTGATACAATAGCATAGAAAAAAATGTCTGCACTCTCATATTTAGGTTCAAACTGAAAACGCAAAGGGGATTTCATTAAACTACCTGAGTAATGAATGGACACAATAAATTTCTATAATCTGTCTTGTCTATCATGTATATATGTGTACTGTGCATCCTTCACTGCAGCCCATCAATAATCTAAAGATACACTTTATTTTAATTCACAATGTAAGTTTTAACAAGAATAAAGAAATTTAAATGAAACTAGAATCCAGCACAGAGAAGTTACAGGAACTAAGCAATTAATATGAGACTGAACAGTAACCTCTTGAATTACCATTGATTTATTAAAGAAGTCATTGAAATAAACAATTCCTAAAATGAAATGAAAGTGACAGCATAGCATCCCAGGATCTTTCAGATGAAGCTATGTGATGCTGAGAGAAAATTATATAAATAATTATATATCTTTGCATACCTACATTAAGAAAACTATGTGTGTTTATTGTATTGCTTGTTCCTTGACTATTTGCATCTATTGTATTGCTAGACCCTCGTCATAGAACTGACCTTAATTCATGCATGTAATCAAAATGGTGTAAAAGCATAAAGGAGTAGGGGGAGTGAGATAGGGGTCTCTAGGGAGGGGAATAGGGAAAGAGGATGACATCTGAAATGTAAATAAATAAATAAAATATTCAATAAAAATAAAATGAGAAAAAAAAAGACTGATGTCAAGCAAATGACCTATTTCAGAGAGTGCACAAGTAAGTAACTAAGGATGAGCCTCACTTTCTAAAGAAAAGATCAAGTCAACCAAAGCAGTTAATTGGAAGAGGTGGTAAATATTTGAGCAGAAATTAATGAAATGAATAATAAAATAGTAGTAAGTTAAATTATTCAAAGTTTTTGGTCTTTGAATAAATAGTCAACAGCAAAAGAAACAGACATACATTAATGAATTCAGAGACATAAAAGACAAATTTGAAACAGATTCAAATTAATTCCAGGCATTCATTGCATAGTGCTTTGAAATTTTATGCTTTCCAAACCTGGAAAATTTAGAAGAATTGTATGTGTGTCTAGACATATATGATATAACAGCATTAACCAGAGAAATATATTAGTAAACTTCAACAGAACATAAATAAGCAATATTATTGATGTGGTAATAAAAATGTTTCTCAAAAGTTTGAAACTCATTATGTGGGATTCTGTAGACTTTTAATAAAGAGTGACAGTAATGCTTCTCGAACACACTTCCATGCCATATAAAAGAAAGGAACACCACTAGACTCAGTGTATGAGCCAGAACTATACATATGACAAAGTAAAAAGAGAAAGGGGGAAAAGGATGTGAGAGAGAGAGAGAGAGAGAGAGAGAGAGAGAGAGAGAGAGAGAGAGAGAGAGACAGAGAGACAGAGACAGACAGAGAGACAGAGAAATTCTTTTTATCTCTATGCTAATAAACAAGTTTGTTTTCTTTTGGTGAGAAATATCACAATGCCAGATATGTTACTCTGAGATTAAATATACTTCTGGGCTAGATAGATTGCTCAGTGTTTGAGAGCCTTTCCTATTTTTTTGCAGAGGACATAAATTATGTTCACATGTCAGCTCATAACTATCTGAAACTCTACTTTCAAGGGATGCAATTTTCCTTTCTGAAATCCAAATGCAAAAATTCTGTACCAACAAATGTGGTGCACAGACATACATGTAGACTGATCACATATATAAATAAAGAAAATAAATAATATATAAATAAAGAAAATAAAGAAAAAATAAAGACATTTTTTAAAAACTTAATTCTGAGGGATCACAGTGCTTCTGGAACTCACATCCTTTACAGCAGAGCAGCGAAAGCTCATTTTCCCCACAGAATAACAGAACATGATGATTTCACAGGCCCAGCCACAAAACCACTTGGCATACACTTAAAACATTCTAGGGTATTCTTTGCTAATCCTAACTGCCACAGCTTGACACAAGTTCAGGTGTCCTTTGAGCACCAAGTCAAGCTTTCCATAACTTATTTGCATATTAAGGCTTCAGCTACTCTTCACATTGCTCAGCCCATCTTTAAAGGCAGCTTGCCAGTACTCAAGAGGCAGCCTCTAGTACAGCTCTTTGAGAGGGAGTCTGCTCTCCTGCTGTGGGTACTGCTGGTCTGGGTTCCAGGTGAGAGGGTGTAGTGTTAGGAGCATCCACTGTGGTCCTTGCTGTTTTCCATGCCTCAGGGTCCTGATCATTGAATTTATGGCATTCAATTGGTTTTAAGTTTCTTATTTATTTTATGGCTTTTAAGAAATATGCTCATGACTACTGTTTCAGACACCAAATACGATGGCTCTACACTAGAATGCTTTTTGTAGATATGTGACAGCAATGTGTGCTTATCATTGCAGGATCCTCCAGTGATACTGTGCTGACCCAGTCTCCAGCTGTTTTGATTGTGTCACTAGGAGAGAGGACCACCATCTCCTGTAGGGCCACCGCAAGTGTCAGTTCAACTAGTAATAGTTATATGTACTGGTAACAACAGAAACTAGGACAGCCACCTAAACTCCTCACCTATTTAGCATCCATTCTAGCATCTGGGGTCCCAGCCTGGTTCAGTGGCAGTGGGTTTGTGACAGATTTCACCCTCACTATAAATCCTGTGGAGGCTGATGATGCAGTGAATTACAACCATAACAACTTTAATCTGGACAGGGTTTGTCTGGATCTGTTCCTCAAAGTCTTATAGGCTACAATCAAGGTGTTGTTAAGGTTGAATTCTCATCTAGGTACTCAAAAGATTCTCTAAGGCCACTGAGGATGTTGACACAACTTTAAAACACTTGGTTTTCCCAACATGACATGCCAGGATTAGAAGCCAAATCCACTCTGTTAAATGACTTTCAAAGTTAGTGATAAAACTTGCAGTAAGAAAATCATGAAAGATACCATTTCAAGATGACTACAAATGAGCCTGGCCCAGGAGAAGTTAGTAGAACTCTATCCTCAAACACAGCGAGTTTTCAAGTATTGTATTTAAATTCACAGTGAGTCTACTGAAAGAAATCTGTATAGTGAGTTACAAAGTAAAATTTGACACATTTATATAGTTACCATTTTTACTATGGCTGAATGATATTCCTTACATGTATGTAAAATTTTATTAGCCATAGGTTTATTTACATTCTTATTACTATGAATAGTGAAACAATAAACATGGGTGAGGAGTATGTCTATGTTTTTATTGGATATTTTATTTATTTACATTTTATATGTTATTCCCCTTTCCCCACCCATCCCATAAACCAAGTATCCCATCCCTCCTCCTCCTTTTTGCTTTTATACCATTTTAATATCATGCAAGTATTAAGATCAGTTCTAGGTTGAGGAACTAGCAATAGAATAGATGCAAATAGTCAAGGAACAAGCTCTGTTTACTGCTTTGCTTATTCTTTAACTATCAATGTTTATCAAGTATGTCTATTTAATGATGATTTACATTTTGTTCAGGAATATACCCAGTGCAGGCCTAACTGAATTATATGGCAGTTCCTTGTT